AAAAACTTTTAGCTAGTTATGCTACCCTAAAAATCGGATTTGGTTAATGAAGTTGAGATTTGAGAATGATGGCATGTTGGTGATCCAATCTGGTGCAAAAATCATCATCATTACTTGAGAATTAATTTTGACATTGAATCTTGCTGATTGTCATACAGAGCGCATCATGTACCCAGACATCCCCATTGCACTGAGGATGTCAGACCACCTTCTATTAGGTGTTGTACGGATATATTACAAGAAGGTTGATTATCTTTTCCCTGACTGACAACATATCATCCTTGTTGGTTTAAGTGAGGCCTTTCATGCCAAAAAGGAGGCTGATTTGCTGGATAATTAAGACCAAGCTCCAATTCATGCTATTACTCTGTCTGAGAAATTTTACCTTGATGCTTTGGCACTTGATGATGATGATACATGCTACACTGAGGGGTAGGCTTTCTCCCCTAAGTCTTTATTTTATCTCCTGCCTTCTTCTTATTCTGCATGCATATTAAGATTGCATTAAATTTTGCTCCTCAGGAGCCCAGATAATCATCTCAGGAATGAGGAAGATATCAGACTACCAGGTTAGAAATGAGCCACTATTTGCCTTTCTTTTGTATGCCTGTTTGTTGATATATTCAAACTGTAACTGCTCTGAGGTGGGCTTCTTCTATCATCTTGCAGACCAAATTCCTACTGGAGCAAATCCTTATATTGCCATAACTTTTGACAAGGTTAGTCATTTCTCTTCTGTCTGTTAAAGTTGGAGTCTTCAATTGCTTCTTGTTGATCAATTATTTGCTTTTGGCTATGGGAATTGCAATTTCACCTGTGGCTATGGAAACATCTGTTATGTGTAGGATATGATGGATGTATTGCATTCAGAAGCAGCTCCTGAATCAGGAGTCCAACTAATGGATGAGGAGTATGTTCCTTATTTTATTTGAAAACTCTATTTTGAATCTTTGAGAAAGAAAATTTTAGATGGAAGCATGTTATGATGATTTCGTTTTGTTTTTCCTCTAACAATTTCAGTGTCATTCTTCAATCTCTCAATGGTGGTAATGTCCGAATTGAAGAACTGAGTGCAGCAGCAGCTTTTCAAGATCCTGGTCCAACTAATGAGACAGAACTGCCTGGCACAAGCATGGCTTTTGGGGGCACAGGTCCAGGTGGCCAGACGAAAGTACGTAGACCAACTATGGATTTCTACAAGAGGCATCCTGGCAATGAGACAGAAGCACCTAATATCATTCATGATGACAGTGTCACTCAAGATTTTCCAGATATTGAAATTAGGTGTGATACAGTCCATGATATTAGCAATGGATGCCTACCTCTAGGGCATCCAGATGAGAGAAATGATGCAAATGAAACGAGAGTATCTTTGGAACATATTTTGGATGATAATGAGATTCATACTCCAATTCTCAGGAGTATGTCAAGTTCTGGAGGAGAGTCTGTACCATTTCATGAGCACTTTGGGTCACCAACTTCTGCTGGTTTTCAAGAGTCTCCTGGGAATTTATCTCGTGCGTTCTTGGTTCTATTCTAATTGTTGGATGGAAATGTTATTTCTGCGTCAATATGCCTACCTATTGCTATTGAATTAAGTTTTGAGGCTTTTATTGTTTCTTTGTCTCAGGAAATAAATCACCTCAACTTGCCATTCAACCCTCTCCAGCAGTACATTGGCCAAGAAAGAGACAGAGAACACAGGGGAGGTTCTTCAATATGGAACTAGTCTTGTCAGGATGATATGTATGGTATTCTTGTTTTTTGATGCCAAATGTTGATTTATAGGAAAATGGATAGGTCGATGAAAAAGGCACTTGAAGATTCTAGTGATCTAGTACAGAAGAGAAGGAATGTACGTGCCTCTGCTTTGGCTGTATGGAAGTCAAATAACATTCTCAGAAAGGAACAATTATTTCATGGGGCTTCAGTAACAGGTAAGATGATCCTTCATCTTCAGATTTTTTCTTGCATCTTCGCTTCAAGGTTTAAGGAATAGGTTTGATGAGAACATGGATACTGTGTACTTGCAGGGTTGTGTGTTGATATATCTGAAATGTTTGAGAGGGCTACACCTTTGCAAAACCCAATTTAGCTGTACTACAGGAAGCTGTTTCAAGTCCTAGGATTTTACAATCTCCTGCTCCAAGCACAGAGGCTGGCGATTTGCAGATTCGTGCTGCTGCAACTGCAACTGCAACTGAAGCTAGCCCAGAGCATATGGTGGGTAGACCTCAAGTTGCAGTGCCTGAAATTGACAGGGAAACTGAATATCTTCAAGATGACCAAGGCATGCTTACAACAATATTTTACATGATTTTGAGCCCTCCCCATCTAGGCCAATGTGTTCTGCAAGGGATGATTCATATCCACTATCAATTAACAGTTTAAGATCAGAGACAATACCTCGGTTACTTCCAACACCAGATGCTGCAGCATCCACTGGAACTCATGGATCTGAGTTTGAAACACCAAGGACATTCTTGGATGAGGGACTGGTTCTGGGAAGCACAGGTCTTTCAGAAATTCCTGAGATGCTGTGTTCTGCAGAAGCAAATGTAAGCTTCATTATCTTGCTGCTTTTGAAATGATATAATGATGTGCCTTTGTTTTCAAGAATCTCAAGCATCATCATTTTAGATTTTGCATTTAATTCCATCAAGTTATATTGTAGGATCTTTACTTTCTTGAAGATGATAATGATTCCCCAACTGATATGTGAATACCCTTTTAATTTTATAAATTTTTTCCCCGTTCATACGCATGAAAATAACTTTTTGTACACCTGTTGCAGAGTTCCAAGCAAGTCAAGGACTAGATTCCTTGTCTGTGAGAACCAGGTACCTCTTCTTGAGTGAAAGAAACTTTGCTCTTAAGGCTATATGCCTTGAGTGGCCCGTAATATATATTCTGCATTTCTTCTATGCAGAGCAGTGGCTCAATATTTGAAGAAGCAGTCACCTATCACTGCTATCTCAGAAAACTCATCTGGAGATCTCAGTTTGAATAAGATCTTAGAAGGAAAAACAAGAAAATTATGTGCTTGAATTTTTTATGAGACATTGGTATGTTTCAACTCAACCCTTTAATATATGCTTGCTTCATTTGGATGAACATCTGTTAATTCTTTCAAACATAGGGTTCTCATAAATGTTCCCTATTTTTAAAAGCATCAAGACACCCATTTCAATTTTATTGTAATATAATGCCCTCTTGATATTCGTTGACTAAATACAGGTTTTGAAGAGTTATGGACTTATTGACATACAACAAGAAAAAGCTTATGAAGATATCACTTTGAAGTTGACTGCAACTCTATGTAAGGCCCAGATGTAAGGTTATTATATTTATTCTGGTGCATTGGCTTTTATGTTTATCGCATATTGGTAATAGTCTAAGGGCCAATTTGAGCTAGCTTTGTTTTATTGTTGTAAATAATAACATCTTGTTACTTAGCTATTGCTACTTGATCAACCTTTTTATTTACAAATTTAGGCTCATATGCTAAGCTCTGTTTTCTATTCACAGAATGAAGTTAACTACAAGTTGCTAACAGGAACGAGAAAGGAGCTTTTGGTTGGCAGAAATGCAAATATTTTGATCAGACAGTCACCCTTGTGAACCCCAACTTGTACTCTGCTAGATCTCTTGTTGATTATCCCTGTCCTCCTACCCCTGTCCACTTCTTGCAGCAGCTCCCTCATGTTGGTGGGGTTGGCCTGGAAGCAGTTAAAGGGATTCCTATTCCAGTGCACACAAAGGTAATGGATCTGATGTTTTTCTTGTATGATGTACTGTACAATCATAGTGGTTTTGATTTGTTGATGATGGTTTTGTCTTCAAGAAATTGTGATTGTTTTAGTTGTTGAGTCATTGGATACATTCTTGCTACTATGAGTCTACAATAATTCAAGCATATGAGATATAAATTCCATCTATGTCTCATAAAGGAGCAGGAAACAATTAAGGAATGCATGAAGCCTTGTTGCTAATGGCAACCTGGATTATGATAGCTTTTTCATCCTTATTGTGTCCAAATTGTCTGCTATAGAGCCTGTCTAGCTTTCTGCAATTTTTTAAGGTTTGCTTATTGTAGGTTGATCAGTCATCATCTTCTGTTTCCAAAAATAATGGATATAAAAACATGGAGTACCTTTTTCATCTTTGTATTGCTTCCTATTTACAACTGCAATGTGATGCATAGTGTTAACTTTCTGCCTATCTTCTCTTTTTGTAGGGATAGAAACAAAGACAAAAGCCTTATCAACATAAGAAATCGGAAAGTAAGCTGACCTTGTTTCATCTAGTCTTCTAGATGGTTGTGCATGTTTATTGTCACTGCTAACTGCTTTCTGGTTTCATTCTAGCTGTATGGAGCATTCATCTTATGAGAAAATGTTTTGGCTTGTTTGGCCTGTTCTTTTTGGGAAATCCCATGGAACTGTGAGTTTACAGTGGATGCAGTGAGTTCTTTAATTTCTGCTCTTTCTCGTGTTTTGTAATGCAGGTCAGAATAACAAATGGGACTTCTTCTCTTTATGCACTTTGCGGCTCATGGTTGAGAAATAGTTTTCCTGAGGAAAGCCAGGTTTGTATCGTTATTTGAGTGCTTTTCATTTCTTACTTATGCAATGGAGGATTCCTTTTGGTTTTTTACATATGAAGCATTCAGTTCACTCATTGGCTGTTTCTTCTAAATTTTTTGACAGCCACAATATGGAGATATTGCAAAATCTCTCCCACAACCTTTACCTATGCCAGTGACAGATAACCTGCCAAACAAAAGGGAAGGAGTAGAACAGGAAGAGGGGGTTGGTTTTCCTAGTTTTGCTGTTCTTATACGTGTGAAGTTGTTCTAGGTTTCTTCTGCTGGATTTCAATTTTGTCAGCTTTTATTTTTTGCTTGAATACCACACGGAAAATAGGCAGAACCCTCAAACCGCCTCTTAAAAAAGATGGGTGGGTATGGATCCACCCTCACAAAAATGAAGGGACATTTGGCCCCCAAAAATTATCGACTGATCCAAATTACCAATTATTTAATTGCTGACGTCATCACTGTCATGATCTCCGTTTAGCCCGTGCCAACGTGTCATTTTTTTACACGTTGGAAGCTGATGTGTACCAATCTCACTCTTTTTTAAACACTGTGTCACCTTTTATTCCCCTTTCCTTGTCTGGATCCCATTTAGCCCTAAAAAGGAAGAAGGAAAACCTAAGTCTTTGCTCAGATTTGTAGCGAAAAATCAAAGACTCATTTCTTAAAGAAATCTTTGGATTGAATTCACTTTTGAGTATGGGACGAGAGTTGGTTCAACTCTTTCTGGCGAATCTCAAGAAAATACTGAAGCTTTTAGGACCCTTGCACACTTAGTGTTGCTGTTGGTGGTGGGGTTCAAGGTGAAGGACATAGTAAAAGTAAGCCTTTGCGGTTGCTTTCTCTTGGAAAATGTTTGTTTATAAAGTTTTTTAGTTTGTCGTTGATTGTAAGTGTTGGATGCATGTGCATTTTGTCAATTATATAATATATTTTATCATTGATGAACCACATTAATTTTAGTTTGTATTACCATTGACCAGAATAGCAAATGAATACTGGGGGATTTTGTCTATTTTCCATGGGGAGACATTCGGGGTTAGACCTCCATTTGAGTACAAAGGGAATATGTGTAGAATAGGCATTTGACTATGATAGGTTGAATGTTGATGTCATTATGGATTTTATAGTAGGTTTATGACGTTTTGATTAAAAATGTTTACTACAAAAGAATATTAGCAAGCATGTTTAGGTATTTAAAGTTTTCAGCAGGTGATGCTAATATTAGGAATATTATGAGGATTGTCAAAGAAGAGGTGATATGTGAGTTTTATGTGGACCATGAGGTTAATTTTGTTTAAATTACTCTAGCAATAGGTTGAATTGATAATAATGTAGTTTAAGAGGATTGGGGACCACAAGATAGGGTAGGCCCGAATGGTAATAATGAAGTTAATGAGGGAGAAGAGGAAGGTGACATAGGGAACATAGCCTAAGACAGGGCCATTGGTGGTAATAAGGGTAAATTTGAAAATTCATATGATTTAGGTGAATGCAGTAATAGAGCTGGCTATGAAGAAGAGTGTTTTGTTGATGATTGGAAATCAACAGATGAAGAAGTAGATCCTGTTGATGGTAGTGACAGAGATGATAATGAAGCCATTGCTATAAAGGCTATTGCAAGGTCTCTAAGAAGATCAACAGAAGGATTAGAAGTTTTTCCAGGTTTTCCAACACTAAGAATAGAGTCAGGTACAAAATTGTTGCAAAGAAACCTATTCCTAAATCTATTCCTATGTCTACTCTTACAAAGAAAGCAACAGATCCAACTTTAACATCCACAAGCAAAGGGGTTCCAATAGATTCTATTGAGAAGGCCAGAAGGAGAAAGGGAAAGGCTAAGCTTGCAGAGAAGAGATATAAAACATTGCTACAAAGTAGGAAGTCATACAAGGGGAAGTACTTGACCCCTAAAAAAAGGAAGAAGGGAGATCTAGTACGTCCATCCCAATCAGTTCCAGTTCATAATGATGATGAGGGCATATACAGTGATAATGATGGAAGAGATAGTGAATATGCACCAAGTGATGATGCTGGCAAGTTGAGGGACTTATCAACAGATTTTGAAGATGACATTTTTCTACTCCTAGGATAGCAAATAGATCAACAAGAGTTATAAATGTCTACTTTAATCCTGCTTGGGAGGTCCTTATTTTTTAAGTTGGAATGAGGTTTCAAAGTTCCAAACAATTCCAGGAAGTAGTCAAACATTATTATGAGGAAATGATGTCTTCTTATACACATCAGGGATGAACCTAAAAGGTAGAGGTTTGTTTACAAGGTTGGTTTGTGCAGTTGGGAGATTTATACTTCATTTGAGAAGAGGGACAACAATTTCAAAGACAAGACTTATTACCTTGAACACACTTGCTTCATAAATCTTGACAACAAGATAATGACTTGTGAAATGGTGGGTGAGTACTTCAAAAGCAAAATTTATGCCATTCCTTTCATAAAATGTAAAAACATGATGACATTTGCTTATAATGAGCTTAAGGTAAATGCTAACTTCAAGAAATGTGAAAAGGGCAAAAAGAATGGTTTTAAAGGAGATGGAAGGAAATTACAGAGATGAGTATACTATGATTAATG